TTCTTGAATTTCCCGAAAAGTTGAAATGGTGGTTAGGAGATCGTCTACTTCAACTTGCCTGTGGTCCAACTTACCGTTCTGCAGTTAGATTAGCATATTCCGCGGCGCGATGCGCCGCGCACACCTTCAATTTACATGCGGAACAATTTTCTCCCAGCGGCCGCGGGAAGCAACCTCGAATACATTTTTTCACTTTACAATTGCTTCTAAAAATTTCCTTCTCTGCCTATCCTATTTCCCCACCCCCCAAAACTCTATTACCACCATTTTTGCATGACAAAATGCTGGGACTAGGGGTATGTAAGTGGGGCTACATAAGCTACTTTTGCCATATTTTCAAACTGGGTCCATACCTAACCCCTTGGCAACCATGTCAACCACAAAGAATGTTAATATAATAGAGTTATCTGGCTACTCAGAAACAGTGACATCAGGACATAGTTCAGTATATTTAGGAAAGTAGGCATTGCTTTTGAAGACCCTGCTGAAAACGGCAGGGAAATACAGTAAGCATACAATAAATATGTCGCTATAAAATAGTGAATAACATATACGCATGTACATATTTTTAACAGATAAATTTACGCATAGTCATCGCGAGGATCGTAGATAAAATTTTCGAATAACAGATATGAATTTTATGCGTATATGTGAACGAAGCGTTGTTATGTTCTAATAGTGCTTCCCTTGGCACGAAGGGACAACAATGAGGCATTTATGACAGAACTGTGTATGTGTGGTTTAGATGTGCAAATGAGTAGGAAACTTACGATGAATTTAAGGAATGTGTGGACAGAGTGTGCTCCGAATGATACCGTTCATCGAAGCTGTCGTCCTCCTCTTCGTCGTCTTTTTCCTCGTCTGACGAGGCACCCGGCGAGACGGCATTCTTAATGGCTGCCCTGGCTCCTGTCCACCAGTGACGCAACCGACCGCGCGACCCAAAGAAACGAATGAAAGACTGCGAAACGTCCTGATAAAGGTCCTCCAGCTGAACAACGAAATCACGACGCTTACTGCCAAAGTTATGCAGCAAGTGGGTACCCTTCCTCACCATAGTCTGGATGTTGTCTTCAAGTTTCAGCTGCTTTTCCTAAATGGAATTAAAAACACAGAGACGGCTGGCGCCTGAGAAATCCATCCAGCAATGGGAGAAGCTGCGATAGA